AGTTTATCCTCGATAAGTTTTGCATGAGTTTTTCGGCTGGAAAATAAAATCGACTCTTAATTTTCACTAAAGGACAGAGAGAGAAAAAGAAAGGCTGAGAACCCTTAGACAATGCAGGGAAAGTGTATTTATGTTGAGCTATTGGTTGTATTTATTCAGTCAACCAAACTGTTGAGATCCTCCTGAGTAAATATTGTTTTAGAGTAAAGCGCACAGAGTTTCATTGTGCTTGTTGACTTTAAAAGTACAGTATGCCTGTTCAAACACAATGTCTACCATCATCTTGAATTGAACAATTGCCCAGGGACCCCAGAGTGTGTGAGGGCTATGCAAAGAAAACTTTGTATCACCACAGGGTCCGCTGCATGCTTGCGTCTCTGATTTTCCTCTCTATAGTGTCTTTTGACTCCCTTGTTGCAGAGCAGCCATCGTTGCAGTGCAATTATGAGAAGGCAAATAGGGTGTGTGTATGCGCGTGTGTGGGGAGGTGTGTGTGTGTGTGTAGGGTGGTTCTCTAGAAATACATGGGCCATTAGTCCTTTTCAATAGCAGCCCATCTCCCAACAAGTTTTCATATTTTCCTGGTAGCAGGCACCTCTAAATAAATTCTAGTTAGTAAAGACTTAGACAAAGCAGAACAAAACAAGGTGTAACGGAGAGTGAAAGACCAACAGAGGAGTTTGATGGAGAGGGAGGGGGGGTTGACAAACCGGATTGGGCAGGTAAGTGGTTTTTGCTGATAAAGAAAGGAACAGGGTCGATTTTCCCCACCACTCTAGCGATAGAGGTGGATGCCATTAAGATAAGGAGGATTAGATCTTCCACCTCGCTGTTCAAGCTGCCAAAACCTGAGGGACAGGTGAAGAGTAAAAGACCCCATCCCAGGGGGTTTGTTGTCACTTTTTGACCGAAGAGAACGATTCATGTGGAGTTAATAGGATATTGTTTAGATTAAGAGCTTTGTTTCTTTTTTTTTAAATCTTTTTTTTGTTGAATCAGGCACAATGAGTTTACATTTATACAGTCAATATATTTTTTTTAAGAGCTTTGTTTCTGATCACAGAAACTCTGTCACAAGCTTTTAAAAACAGACAACCACATAAAAAAATGATCAGCGGTGGAGGAAGTATTCAGGTCACTTCAGTGAAAGCCGCAGAACCACAATGTAACAACTGAAAGAAATGTTACGCTGATAATGTATATAATAGAGAACCGACTTTAAAAAAGCTGTATGTCCCAACTACAATGTGCTTCTTCTATCGTTGCAACAGCACACAGTGAATGGAGAGCAGTAAAGCTCAAGAACATGTCTGCACACAATAAACATGTACAATAAGAAAAACCGACACACTTAAGGAGACATTAAACTGTTATGAAAGAGTCACGTTTGCAATGCATGAGCACATACTGTACATGTGGGTGTATGGAGTGCCTAACGACCCGCATCTGTTAAATAACACAACCCAGTCAGGTTTCTGTGGGCTGCCTTGGAGGGAAAACATTGGATTCAACAAGCCATTCAGATTTGGCTCTCCTTCTCATGTCACATGCAGGCTCATAAAAAAATACTGCCCACCATCAGAGTATCTCCACTAACAGCTTGAAAACTACCATACAAAGGTGTGCCATATTTTTCTCACAAGCCATTCAGAGCAGTGTTTTTAGTAGCTGGGCCTTAAAGGAACAGGCGCTAAAACAAACTGTTAAGACACAAGGTGAATACAGGTAAATTCAGACCAACAGTATGACTATGATGGTACGTTTTTAGACTTTAAAGCATACTGTAAACAAATGTTTAAGTAGAAAACCCATAATCATCCTTTTTACAACAATAACACCTTTAAGATTTTCCCTAAAGCTGGCACATGCATAAGTAGATTACTCTTTATTTTAAATGCCCTGTTTTTACTTCTTGTTATAAAGATATATGCTCGTCCACGCTCAGGTTTGGCGTGATTGAGAGTAAGAAGTGATATAGACCACATTGACTGCAGCCATCATGCTTTGGTCGCCATTATTCGAACACACAGCACCTGGAAACGGTGATTTAATGGATGCTGATTTATGAGACAAGGACAGAGACCATGAGGTTTGCTTCAGGTCCGGTTCCTCTGAGTTAGTCAGCAGAGGGACCTCGCATCGGGGGGTTTTATTTCCCGGTTGTGCTTAATGACCTGAGCGTTTCTCTGAGGCCTATTAAACACATGCAGTAAATCAACAGAGGAGGAACAAACCAGTTATCACCAACTTTGTTTTAAGGGGTGAGGGACGACAATTAATCTAACAGAAGGCAACCGAGCTGCCAGAGAGTGTGTTAGGACGACTCACACTGTCATGTCAGACCGACAGACATCTCAGCAGCCTGGGTCAAACAACAATCAATGCCTCTATTTCATCCAGAAAAACACCATTATATAACCAACTCTAGCATTGCTAGTGTTTTTAAGATGGGAAAAATGTAGGATAGAATCACCTTGTCACAGTAAATAAGCTTTTACCTCGAAAAACGCTATTGACTTTAAGCATTGCAATTAAAAACTCAAATATTCTGGGCTGGTTAATCTCATGCTTACTGCTAATCCGACAGCATTTAACACGAGACATTATTAACAGGGAGAAGAGAATGTAAAGCAGTGATTACTACTATTGTCAGGCCGCAAGCATTTCAAATTGTAATTTCAGGCAAAAACAGTAGAAATGAAAAAATTTAAAATGCTTATTTATTAATCTGGCTATAAATGAGAACATGATGTTTTCATATCTAGGTCTTCTGTGTGAGCCACAGAACAATTTGGTCCATGTTGCGCAACCTGGTATTTGATATCGTTTTTAGTTATGAGATTTTTTTTTTAAAGAAAAGTAATAATAATAATAATACATTTTATTTATATAGCACACTTATAATCTGTTATCCAACAATAACATCCTTCCCTGCAGTTTCCAAGCACACATTAAATATTTTTGCCACAGGCTTTTAGCAAAGTTGAGTCGCCTTCTCCATCAAATAAATACAGTAGCATTCATCAACAATAGTCTAATTAAAAAGCTTTCAAGCTTGTTTTTTCCAGATCCACTAATCACTGAGACAGAGCAGTATTTGTTTGCAGCCTGTGTGAGAACAAACATACGCTGCCTTACATCTAATAAATCTCAGATAATCAAGTTTGAAGTTCCCTACTTAAACGGGATTAGACTTATTCTTGCAAAAACCAACTGTTTGCACTTAAATATATAACATGCAATCTACGGACTATAAAGCAGCTGAGTAAAGACTTTAATGTTTGCCAGCAGCTTGCTTAAAGCAAGGTAATGATCATGAACAAAATGAGAAAAAAGCAACACATTAGCTGACAAATTCTGCAACACAGAGCAGAAAGCCCCGAACACAGCCGGCAGAAAGCGAAAGGTTGTTACTCCTGGAAATGTGGGGAAACCTTACCAGCACAGCATCGTCCTGAAAGGGAAGAGGGATAGAAGGAGCCCCAAAGCATCCAACCCTTTAAAAGCACTGATGGTCATTTACTTTGAATAAAATCAGTGGAAACGCATTAGTCAGAACACGTGCTTTCCTGGGAACTGGAGAAAAGCAGCTTTTCTTTAAGAGGTATAATTCTACATTTTCACTTTAAATTCAATGGCACTTTACAGCAGTCACATGGACAGATGCACGAGTCTCCTGTTTACCTGCACCATGGATGACTTCATAGTTCAGAGGGACAAAAAGTGGACACTGTTATATTTGATTACATGCTCTCTTCTGACCTTTTCAAATTCCTCTGAGTACATCTCTGTATTTCCCTGCAGGATTAACATGTACAGTAGACTAGGGTCGTGCTCACATGTGAAACAATATGCACTACATCAGATGATGACTTAATCCATCTCATGGGGGATGAGGAACGTCATGTCAAGAGTATTTACATTTATTAAAAAGCCTTTTCTTAGAAGATAACATATTACATTGTTTATCCTTTTGAGACAACAAAGGGCCATCCAAAGTTTGCCAATGTGTGAAAAGTGTTCTTTTTTTATTGAATTTGTTCTAGGTAAGATATGAGTGAAATCCAAAAGCAAACATTTTTTCACATTTTAATTTCAGTATTATACCTTACACCATATTTACTCAAATTATAAACCTTAAAGAAGGACAATTACATTTCTTAATGTCTGTGAGGCCAAACATCATTTTCAATATTAAGGATATCAAATCAATCAATAGATTGAGATCACTTATAGACATTTCTGTGACATTAATCTTCAACATCCTTAAATAATGCACATCAAAAAAGGATCTTTAACTTATCGAATGCATGTTCTTTTTTTGGGTTCGATCCACTCAATTTTGTTTACTCTCAGCCACCTGAGCAACTGCTGTGTGCATGAGCTACACACTCTCCTTTTATTATCAGCTAATTAGTGTGGCTAATCAGGCCGATAATGAGCTGGGCACCATGCCATTTCAATCTGTCACCAGGCCAGGGTTCAGATCCCAAAGAGAAACACGTTGGGCATCTGAGATCTCCATGAGGACAAGTCTTCCTGGACATGAGCGAGGGATGACAAGAACAACAGTGGTGTCTCTTTTTAAAGTGATGACAAGGGGGGCATAAATCTATTTGTTTAAGGCTACGGGGATATAAGAACAGCTTGAAGAGGTTTAGAAACTCAGTTGCAAAATTATCTGCCTGCAGAGAGCTTTAAAAACACGTTTGTGTTATCTCCCTGCAAGCTTTCCAGATTTCCCTGCCCTTTCCTTTCCAGCTGGGGACACACCACTGGGAGAACAAGGGGAAATGTATGCTCACTGTAACACATCCTGTTGACCCTTCAGATACACACATATCGTAACCATCCTCATCCCCTCATAACAAACAGATCCCCAATATCTTATCATAGTACCGAAAACAATGCTGTACTATCACCTCCCATCTGCCTCCTCTCCCTCCTCTTCCTCCCTCCCTCTCTCTCTCCCTCCCTCCCTCCATCTGTGTCTTGCTCTCCCTCTCCCTTTGCTGCCTCACTCATTCCCTGAGCAGCACACTGAGCTGGATAACGTCTCCTTCAACCCGCAGCACAGACTCATTTCTCTACACACCAGCTCTGAGTGGATGCTCAGCAGGGGTGTTTGAGATATTAGCGCGCTGTGGGGGGAAACGGCTTAGGGACTTCTACCATCCACATACCAAGGTAAGCCTCTGGATCCTCCAGATTAGATTCCTGTTTGCTGAGAAGCACCAAAACCAAGTTAGCCATCTGAAACTGCAGCCTTTAGGAATCACTCCCGCCAGATCCTCGGCTGTCCCAGGACAGATTTGTGAGAAATGCTTTAAGATTTTGAGTTGTATTTATAGACTTTGAGGTGTAGCCTACTATACGATAAGTAGCAAAGCAAATTATACTGAACCAGAGAACGTGTGTTGGCAGTCTGACCTGCGAGTTAATCCTTGTTTTGTTTGGAGCAGTACGTTTAGAGAAGAACTGTACCAGTCACTGAACGTAATCTTAATCAATGTGCTTAAAACAAGCAGACCTGAAAACATTCAGCACTGATTGGTCTCACCTTCAGAGAAAGGCTTAATTTAAATCTCTGACCTGTTGGCTTACACCCTGCCACTGCTTTGTGAACATTTATTTCATGCATATAAAATGCACATCTACCTACTTCATGTTGGTAGAAAATTGTTCTTTAAGGTTAGTCTCAGTAAATGAACAACCACATGTTTACCAATCGGTCCTCAATTAGGGTTGAATCATCAGTGTTTGTCTTTATATAAATCTGTCTTAACCTGTGTGCATACATGTGTAGAAAATAAAAGCTTTATATCTATTGTTTTCATGATGTAGAAGTTGGTGTCCTGGGAACTTGAAACGGTCAGAGATTTTAGTAAATGTAAAGGATCTGGAAGGTGGTACTATTGGTCAATGTGTTTGCTTTAAATGTGTGTGTTTTTGCTTGACTTTAGATCATTTTGGAAATGTAAACTAGTAATGAATCTTAATATTGTTGCTTAGTCTGCCCATTTTTATTTTTTATTGTAACTATTCCCTCTTTGACGCATAATCTGCAGAAGCCTCACTGTGGTTCACGAGCATGAAGCTGGACGATGTTGTGTAGCGCTGCAGCTGGAGGAAGAGAAGCAGATCTTCTCTGTCAATGCAGACTTTAATTTTGTTCCTGATTTCTTTCTGTTTTTCTTTTTGTTGCAAATGCACCGCTTATTACCTTGCACTCATTGCAAAAGGCAGCCGTAAAATTGTGGCCCTGGGATTTTTCTCTCAGGCTAAACAAATACTACGACAGTCTGCAATCACAATACAAAGTGCAATTCCAGCCATAAAAAAAAAAAAAAGATTATATATATAAAATAATGATTTATATATTTGCTACGAAGAAAGTACAAATGTGTCATATTATACTTGATTTTAACAGCATGTTTCAAAAATAATAAAGAATACAGTATATAATCATCAGATAAAACACTACATTTATAATATGTCTACATTACATTTTTTCATATTTAAAATTGTTGGGTGACATAATGTTCTTTTGGATTTACCAAAGGCTTGTGAGTCAGATGTATTGCTCCAGGGAGAATCGTCTTTTTGTAAAGGCATTTTGCCAATTCCTAAAATAGATATTATCTTAATTTTTTTACATGCCTTTTTTGTCATTTTGCTTTATTGAAATGGAAATAAGCCACAGACTTATTATGCATTGGGTTATTCATAAATACAATTTAAAATGCCTGAATTCCTCCCAAAAACAGGGAGAAATTAAACAGAAATGCTCAACATCTGAGGACATTCAAAGATGTAGATCTTGCATTGTGGACTGCACATTATTGCTAAGTGAGGCCTGTCTTGCTTCCTGATGCAGTATGGCTGGATTTTGCCTCAGTCGTTTGTTTGCACTGTGATACTGAGGGTGTCAGTGAGTGAAGCTCTAACAAGCCCCTGCCTGCTCTTCATCACTGTAGTGCCAGATATGTGCCCATGAGTATTCATCAGTTAGGGCTAATGGGGCACAGCAGTGTGGACCTCTGATTTATAGCCCGTCCCCTGTCAGGCCTAATGATAGGGCAATGGTGCTGGTTATGGAGAAACAGGTGCTGCAGAGTGAATAGATACAAAGAAATGCTGTTGAAAGCCACGGGTGATTGTGGTTTTGTCCTCTTCACAAATGTTCATTTGCAATATTGTGTTCTCACATACATCATTATTGTGCAGAGAAATTAGCTCTCTTGAAGTATGGGCTTAGGCTATGTCTAGAGGCCTAATAGCATGCATGTGTGTGTGTGTGTTGGGCAAATATTTCATCTGTTTCTGTTCCCCAAATTGTTTCCAGAATTAATGTCATATTAATTATACACAATGACTGTCTCTCCTATATTAACACCAGATGGAGCTCAATGATTAAGTGGAAAATAATGTCCCTCATGCACTAAACAAAATGTGGTCAAGTTATTAAAACAGGGGCACTGGTCCCTTGAGAACAATCATTATTAAAGTAAAATAATCATTTCAACAGGCAAGACACTATGTGGCAGAAGGGCTGGGCTATATGGGGAAAGTAAATAATAATATTACTGAGAGGATTTTTTAAATATTGAGATATTATCAGCTATTTCACATGACAAAGTCAAATCATTGTTTCCAGGTTGGAAACCAATGATGTCCCTTGCAGCAAACAAAAGCTAATATAGACAAAGCAGTCATTGTGTCAGTTCCTACTTAATCTCCCAGTCCATTATGAGTTGATCTCACATTAAGATAGCATTGTTACATTTAAGAAGAATTTCGTCCCGCTTAGTTTTTATTAAGACTATTGTGAATTTTAAAGGCCATATTTTGTGTATTCAACATGCTCAAAAAATAGTTATGCAAAGGCTGCAGAAATAAGCAGAATAACAAGAATAACTTGTCTAGTGTCAAACTGTGTTTCTGCAACGAGACCAGAACAGTTTCACAACTCCTGTCAGTGAAGTTGTTGTAGGTGTTAAGCAGTTGAAGCTCACTCACTGCAGGTCGGCTGGCACAGTTTACTGATGGATCACTGCCCACACACACATGTACACACACACACACACACACACACACACACACACACACACACACACACACACACACACACACCTCTCTCTCTGCCTGGACCATCCCACACTCTAACAGTGTCTTTCCCACAGAGCCGGCAGTCAGGAGGAATATGGGCAAATCCGAAAGCCAAATGGATATCATGGAGAAATCAAGTAAACCTGGAAAGCGCCGTTGGACTGTTGCAGAAATCGGTCTGTCCGTGCTGCTGCTGTTGGTCAGCTGTGCCTTGGCTGGGTTGGCAGTCCTCTACACATCGGTTGTGAAAGGTAATGGGTCACTGAGGAAAGATCCAGATATTACAGATGGGGGGTCTTCCTGCTTTGTATGTGTGACTGCGAGTTGGCATCGACACAGGACATAATCCTGACCCTAGACGTGCTTTCAGATGCAATATTGATGCACACTTCATTGGCTAACCCTTTTAGAGATTTTTAAAGGTTAGTGTTACTCCAGCAAAATAAGGCTTTCACTTCAAAATACCATATATCAACGATACACACACAGACAGGTTTAATGATAACAATTTTTAACTGCAGGCTCTTTATTCCAGGATTTTGTTGACTTGCAAACACAAATACAACTCTGCCTGGGACATAATTGTGTTTCCCCATGCTTAAATGAGAATTGATCATTATAAGATGCCCTGACTGTGTCTAATGTTTGTTCATGTTTCTTCCGACCAATGCAGAGCAATCCAACAGGACAACTTTGTCGAGGAGCACAACAAGTGAAGGTGAGCGTTGGTCGCTTTAAGCTTATAAACTCAACACAGGTCGCACCGTGGGATAAGTGGGTTTGCATGTGTCATATTGAAGCCTGCACCTCTGATAGTCACTGTAATTCCCTTTACTGCCTGATCAGCATTGCCACACAAAAGTGAAAGAACAAAGTCACTGCTGACACAGACACTGACCGTCACACACAGACCACACATACATCTATTTAGTTTGAGCTTTTTCACACAACAACATCCTCCTTGTCTCAGTCTGGGGGTAGTTTGTCCAATGGTGCGCATGCTTTCTCATGAATGTTGACACTGATTTGTTTCAGGCCAGCTGATTCGCTCCAACAGTGTGTGTACAACTGCAGACTGTGTTACTGCAGGTGAGAGGGACTGTTATCTTATTTGCTCTCTTGCTGTTCCGTTTTGTAAACAAAGTCAGCCCCCTTTCCTTTCAAAGTATGTTATATCCACATTACGATGTCCTGCCTCCCTCACCTTTCTTGTCTCTGTGATGCCTCAAAGCTGCTCGGCTGTTGCAGAACATGGATAAGTCTGTGGAGCCTTGTGATAACTTCTACCAGTACGCCTGCGGGGGTTGGCTGGAGAGACACGTGATCCCGGAGACGAGCTCCCGCCACAGCATCTTTGACATTCTGCGGGACAAGCTAGAGATTGTACTCAAAGGTCAGCTGGGTTTCAGTGGACTGCAGCATCCAGGGCCATGAGGGGGCTTCATTCAGAGATACAATGTCTGCATGCATGTGTTTTGTTGTTTCAGGTGTTCTCGAGACGGACAATGAAGAGGACAGAAATGCCATCAAGAAGGCCAAAGTCCTTTACAACTCCTGCATGAATGAGAGTAAGGCTCTCTTTCTGCTGTCTGAAAATGCTGGTTTTATTCTGAGAAAACATATAAATAACAGTTTCTGAAGCTGTTTATGTAGCAGGCTATCACACAGCCAGGATTCTGCAGGGGATCACCAAGTTAAAAGCTTCAAAAATGTAATTTAAAAAATGTTGAATTTTAAAAACCTTGAAGAATCTTTAGGACCTGCAGATACTAACCAGATGCAGCCTAGCAGGGTATCTTAGAGCATGTATTAACCTTTTATTAATTTCTCATCCATGGTGGTTAAAAAGAAAAAGTATTTGTGAGTTGCAATTTTCTTGATGTTTCAAAGATAAAACTAAAAGTCTCAATCTTAATAATGTGGTTTTCCCACAGAATGAAGGGACTAAAGTGTGGTTGTATGTTTATGATATATATATCATTATATTATATATATTTTTGGTGCAGGCCTCATAGAGCAGCGTGACTCTAGGCCCCTCCTGAGGCTCATCGAGAGTATCGGGGACTGGCCTGTGGCGACAGATGACTGGAACATCACTACCGGTACAAACACACCCTAATGTCCACAGCTTGTTCTGTACCAACATGCACATGTGCACCTGCAATACGTCATATACTCAGATACATTTGCTCACACATGTAGAATTGCTGTGTATGACTAAGCAATTCTGCACAATTGTCAAGAGTCTGACCGAGGCTCTTCATCAGAGCGGTCATGTGTGGAGTTTGGGAGTGTGTTGAGTAGGTAGAAGCAGGTCCTCACTGAGGATTGTAAAGTGGGCTTTAAATAGTCTACACTGCTCTTCCCCAAGCTCCTGGCTCTTGCCTCGTTAATTAAATGTAATCATAGACAGATGCTCAAACAGCATTAACCAAACATAGACGCATCTGCACACACAGATTTACACAGATTGCCCAGTAAAATGTGCAGCAGAAGAAGAGGGAGCCTCATTTTTGCATGATGCTAAATTAAATAGTTATTTACAAAAAGATTACCTTGTTAAAATTAAATCCCCCCCCCCGCGCCCCCTCCCGTGAATTGCAGAGGAAGCATGGAGCCTTGAGGACACACTGGCCAAGCTTACCGCTAATTTCCACAAGAAGGTTCTGCTGGACATGTATGTGTGGACGGACGACCGGGACTCTCGGCGCCATATCATTTATGTAAGACCACAAAACAACACTTAACAGTCGTGATGTCTTTATAGAGCCATTATGTGTTCGTGTGTCTCTTAAAGGAGTAGTTTCTAATTGTTTTAAGGGGATTGTATGTACTTTATCATTACATAGGTGCATAGTCATAGCCATAAAAGCAGAGCGATTGTACTGCTGTGGATGGGAGCATCAGCAACACGTATTTTAGCCACCTTAAAAGGCCAACCAACTCAAATCAGTAATCTATGCCCTCTACTCAATACTCAATTGATACAAACTGTAATTTAACCTTGAGGAACATGTAAGTTGCTGGTCTATTACTGTTGGTTAGAATTCACCAAAGTCCAACAATAACATAAATAATGTTATTTTTCTGTAAATCTGTTTAGATTGACCAGCCGGGACTTGGAATGCCATCAAGAGACTATTACTTCAACGATGGAAACTACAAAAAAGTAAGTTCTCAAACATATTTTCTGACTACTGTACACTATCACCGATCATGGAGATCATTTTTGTTTCTATTCGTAAAATATGGAGAAACCTTTCGCTCAGATTTCTTCTTCCATCATTTAAAATACAATTGGATGAAGGGATTTCCTTTTTTGGTGTTAACATCATTGACAGAATGATAATGAATACTTGTTACAGCTGCAATAAAACCTATTTCCACTAAAGAAACAGTCCACTGTCAGGTCCATATTATCTTTGGTCTTAATTCTCGGTTCGGTATCATTGAAGAGAAGCCAGCAAGAGTGAGCTAAATATAAAAAAGTCCAAGTTAAAAACCCAGTGTCAACTCTTTTCTAATGAGAATCAGTACTAGCTCATAAAGTCTTTAAATCTAGCAAGAAAGTCGTCAAGTTGTCAACAGTGACAGCCCCTCCTGAATCACAATTCAAAGTTCTCTCATAGTCCCTGGATTATATATATATATATATATTTTAAAGTATTATTTTCATTTTCTTCTTATTTGAGTATTACAAAATATTGTAATACAATTCACCTTCATTAATCTGACACAACTGTGATTTGTTGTGGAAAACAGCATTTTATAGCATGTGATTGCACCGTAGGTTCGAGAGGCATATCTACACTTCATGGTTTCTATTGCGAAGATAACTCGAGAGGACAGGAACTTGACTCAGGATGACGACCGAGTGTGGGAGGAAATGATGCAAGTGCTGGAGCTGGAGACAGACATCGCCAATGTGAGTGCCAGCCACAACAGGAAATGGAATTGTGCGACGAAGGCAAAGGAAAAAGGAATAATGACAAGATGAAAAATGAGAACCTCCTCTCTGTTTCAGTTGAAAGATAGCAGCCAAGCTTTTAACCAGGTCTTTTTGTCAATGTCTGTCTAGAGCGGGACGAATGAGACTTTGCTGATGACAGGAGAGAAAATGTGAATATATATAACCAAGATCAGTTTATGGAAAGCTTCTTCCTTCCTGTTTGTTGGACAGGCCACATCACCGGCAGAGGAGCGCCAAGATGTCACCGTTCTCTACAACAAGATGACACTTGGAGAGCTACAGAGCACATTCAACTTTAATGTACGTGTTATTTCATTTGTTTTTTGTACTAAACAATTATGTTACGTTATGTTAAGTACTTTGAGGTGCCTTTGAGCAGAGAAGTTGACAGCTTTTATACTTGGTAATGATGAACCATAGCTGGCCATTCTTTAAACAAGGCACATTGTTTATACTAGAGTTATACTAAGACCTGGGTAAGAATATCTGTATCTCACACATTAAATAAATAGCTCAACATTTTTTAAATGCACCTTAAATTTGCCTTATTGCCAAGTAAGATAAAAAGAGTGACACCGCTTTAATTTCTGTAAATTAGTATGAAGCTTACTCGTTAGCCTAGCACAAAAACAAGAAGCGGGGAAACAACAAACACTCTCTCTTAAGTAGGTTTGCAAAAACAATAATTTTTATATTGATCAATTAACGTTTGGTCAAGACAATATCAGAAAAAAGTGTCCAAGTTGTTGTCTTTAAATGTCTTGACTTTGTCCTTAACCCAAACACATTCGATTAACATAGAACTGAGAACAGAAGGACATCTCTAAAAATGTATTTAATATGCAAAAACATCTCCTACCTCTTTGTTTTGCAGGGTTTTAACTGGACACGTTTTATCCAAGGTGTGCTGGCCAGCGTGTCTGTTGACATCCAGCTGGAGGAGGAGGTGGTGGTGTACAGCTCTCCGTACCTCGAGAAGATGAATGATGTTCTCCCCAAACACAGTGTCAGGTCAGGCCAAGAGGGCTACGCAGAGTCCATGAAAATGAACATATTACAGAATATTTACAATTCAGTAACACTTTAACAAGATATTGCATACTTTATAATTGCAGGACTATGCAGAACTACCTCACCTGGCAGCTCATCATTGACAGGGTTAATAGCTTGAGCCGCCGTTTCAAAGACGCCAGAGCCCGTTACAGAAAGGTGCGATGACGATGGTAAGGCAGCACATAATAAAATGAGCATATTCAAAAACTGACCTACAATGTGTGTGCTGTATGTGTCAGACTCTCTACGGGACCACTGTGGAGGATGCTTGGTGGCGGGAATGTGTCCGCTATGTCCAGAACAGCATGGAGAACGCAGTTGGAGCTCTGTATGTGCATGAGACTTTTGCTGGAGAAAGCAAACGAATGGTAAGGGCTTCACTTCTGTAACCCCCAGTTTGATGTTCAAAACACACATTATTGTTCTCAAATATATATATTATACCTGAAACGCTTAGTTTTGAAGCCTGCCTGAAATTGTATCAAAAACAAGTTTATTTAGGTATCAGGCAGTAAAACCTATTTATTTCTGCTGTAAAGTTGAGCATTTTACCATGGGGGTTTATGGAGATTGACTTTCTTTTAGCGCCAGCCTGAAATGGCCATTCAAGGCTAGCTTTTGGCACTTTTGCGTTTATTTTGCAGCGCCAAAAACTGACTGGGTTGCCTTATTTCATTTAAATGTGTTGGTTGATGTGCACAATCACTGAGTATTTTTCTTGGACTTAAAGTGCACTTTAATGCATTTTCTGCTTTTCACACAATTGTTAGTAGTTATTATTGTCATCACCCCTTGCATTCTTTGAACATAATTGATTAAATATGTGTTAAATGAACACAATGTACAGTATGTTATAGACAAAATATAATGTGTTATCCAGGGCCCCATAACTATGACCGCTTGCTTCTGTATGAGATTGTATTACTTTGTTCACAGGTCAGTGACCTTATCAGTAAGATCCAGCAAGCGTATGTGGAAACACTGGAGGAGTTGAGCTGGATGGATACTCCTTCGAAGGAGAAGGCAAGAGAGAAGGTATCAGAGGAAGCCAAGCCAAAAATATAAGGATTTACCTTCTTTAGATGTTCCATATAATCACACTAATCGTTGTGTATGTCACATAGGCCATGGCAATCAAGGAGCATATTGGCTATCCGGATCATATTCTGCAGAAAAGCAACCAGAAGCTTGACCAGGAGTACGCTCATGTAAGTAAGGACTGGGTCTGTTCCTAAGCCACGCTGGAAATACCTGACATGTCACTGATCTCTCATTGTCCGGTTTCAGCTGAATTTTAGTGAAGAAAACTACTTTGAGAACATCCTGGAAAACCTCAAGTCTGAAGCACAGAAGAGTCTGAAGAAGCTCAGAGAACCAGTCGACCCAGACTTGTAAGCTGCTGATAAATCTGAAAGCGCAAACTGTCCTTATGAACTAAAGCTCCTGTAATCTTTGTGTTTTTGTATGACTTAATAAATGAGACATAAAACATCATCACAACAGAACGCCATTTAAGATGAGGTCGATAAATGTCGGTTTCATAGATAGTTAACGTGGTTGTTCTGAAAACGTAACAAAAAAACTTTTCAAAAATGGAGAACTAAAGGTCCAACAAGTGACGATTGCTCTGTGACATCATTAAGTAATAATTAAAGAGCATTGCTAGTGAAGATTTTAATGTTTTGTTTCATATGCAAAATATGCGCTGTGCATGGATTTTCTAGCATAGTATATACCACTGAAAATGCAGTTTAATGCTCTTTTCTAAATTGTAAACCAATCACTCCTCAGGTGGATCATTGGTGCTGCTGTGGTGAACGCATTCTACTCACCCAACAGGAATCAGATAGGTAGGAGCTTTGCCTCTATGGAAAAATAAGAGATGGGTTTTTTAATGGTTAGTCAGTGACTTCTTAGTGTATTTCAGTTGTATTGTTTCATTCCTAGTGTTTTCGTCTTCCCAGTCTTTCCAGCAGGAATCCTGCAGCCGCCTTTCTTCAGTAAACATCAGCACCAGGCCCTTAACTTCGGTGGAATAGGAATGGTTATCGGACATGAGATCACACACGGATTTGATGACAACGGTCAGACACAAGTTATTCCTCATGGATATTTTGGGAAGCCCAAACTGATAGATACAGTTTAAAATTCCCTGTCATTTTAAAATAACTGTTTATTTTAAGTTTACTGGTTACACAGGTTACTGTTAGATGCATCATGTTTGGCAAACAGTATTTAACATAATGCATTGTGTTTCCTCACAGGGCGTAATTTTGACAAAGATGGTAATATGCTGAACTGGTGGAGTAATTTCTCTGCTGAGCATTTTAAAGATCAGTCACAGTGCATGGTGCAACAATATGGCAACTTCAACTGGAAGCTGGCAGGTGGTCAAAACGTAAGCACCCAGTGGCATTTATTAAATGAGATGTTGTGTCTTGGCGTTAATCCCAGAGATTGTAAACTATGTATTAAGTAAAAACCAGAATGAGTGTTTTCATGCCTGTGTGTGTTTTTGGTTTTGCCTGTGTGGCTGCAGGTCAGTGGAATCAGCACTTTGGGGGAGAACATTGCAGACAATGGAGGTGTTCGTCAAGCATTTAAGGTTGGATGTTAGCTGCATAAATGCCCAACAATTTAAGGAACAATGACAAAGTCCAGCATGTTAGTTATGAACTAACATATCCTAAATCTCTAAGTGTATGTGTGTATTTACAGGCTTACCTAAAGTCGGTGGAGATGAACGGTGAGGATTCTCGTCTCCCTGGGCTAGACATGGACCACAAGCAACTGTTCTTTCTTAACTTTGCCCAAGTACGTAAGACTAACGAGGACATGTTGATTCTGGATGTATTAATATAGCAGACAAAGGGACAGACAATCATTTCGCAATCTGGAGTCAAGAGCCAAAGTTCAGAGGGGGCATTTTTCAGCTGCTTTTTGGTGCTGACGAGTAAACACTTGGACAAAGGGAGAGGGTCAGCTGGTGAAGCAATCTCAAAACACTCACATAGGGGATGGAGAGGAGCTGCCAAAGTAAAGAGCATCTGGCTGCCAGGAAATGTTATGCAGAAAAGCAGAAAACGGTCTTCAATAATTAAACATGTCAGGACTCCCCATTGGGATGGTGAGTTTCACAAGTGGTCCGTTGGTCCATGAGCAAAATAACTTGCTAAACTTGCACCATAAGAGGTGGAATAATTATTAGATTCAAAGTAAAATGATGATATAAACATGAGTTAGGGAAACACTAACTCTATAGTTTGTAAAAAGGGGTTTTAATACTAACAGTCTGCAGAAAGCTTCTTTCAATGGTTGCTTTTTAAGGTCGATTTTGCCTTTTATTTTCTAGGTATGGTGTGGTGCTTATCGGCCTGAGTATGCCAGCCAGTCTATCAAGACTGACTCACACAGTCCTTTAGAGTACAGGTAAGGATCTTCAATATGCTCAGATTTATAAACATTAATATCTTAATCGCTAGTTTGAATGACATAATTAAAACACCACTCTATTGTGATCGTAGTGATGCCAACTCTTCAGATCCTCTCTGCTTGTTTTTGTGCACAGCAAGCAGCTGTTTGAAGCAAACCAAAGCTCCAAAAAAACATTATATACAACCTGCTCGGAGAGATTAGTGACCAACTGGTGAACACAGTGAAGCATTTAGCCGCTAAAGAACCAGATATATTTGTCATGAGTTGATAGAGTCTAACAAATAAAAAATACACGTACAAAATAGTTTTTTAGTCAGCCATAAACAAATCAAATGCTAATGGTGCTCCGTCTGGATGTGTTGGCTAACACATTTGTTGTATTACCATAACATGTGACAGGATGTTCACAGCGGTTTAATCATGCTCACCTGATGTTCTGTGTGATGGACTAAGGAGCTCAGGTTTCAGGGCAGCTTGCCCATTGGCTGATCCAAATGTAAACATTTGGAAGCTTGATTCCACCTTAGTGCTCCTCTAGCATTCATCACATGTTTCATCTCTTTTCATAATGTCTTGTTTTTCTTTTGTCTTTAGGGTGCTTGGATCTCTCCAGAATTTCGAAGCGTTCTCAGAAGCTTTCCAGTGCAAGAAGGGCAGTCTGATGAACCCCGAGCAGAAGTGTCGTGTCTGGTAGAAAGTTTTACTCTTGAGAAAAATGTATTTCTTGACTTGGGCAACTCAAATCATAAGAGCAAGTTGTCCACCTTAAACCCAAATAGACATCCCTGCTTATTTCCAATTGATTTTGGGCAGAGTAATGACACAGATCTTTGCATATACTGTAGACGGATAACATCCTGGACTACACCCTAGTTTCAAATCATGAAGCATGTATAGTATAGAAAGGAACTTGCTAGAGTATCTTCTCAAGTTTGACGCGGTGTCTCCGGATGAAAAGGTCACTTGTTCTTTCTTTGCTCTGTCCCACGGCAGATGACGAGTGGGTACATGAATATAAAGGCTATATAGAATGGTCAAGGCTTAAATGGCCCGTTTGAAATGCTTTGCCAGCCTTTCTTGAACTACTGCTTTAAAAAATCTCTTGTGCAGATCTTGTGATTTATCCATTATCGTTTGGCGCAAAACTGCCTTGGTATCTCTACTCTAATGTTTTGTTTTTAAGACATTGTGCCACTTCATAAGAAACAATAATGAAAAAATCTAACTCTGAATGAAGAGTGTGAAATAAATGAAAGCTCAGGGCTTTGCCGAAGTAAACTACAATATAATTAGTCACACTCTGAGAGTTTGTTCATTCACTGTTACATGAAACAAATTACCTAAAGACTTTAAGACTGTTAAATCTTTGCAGCTTTAACCTTAAATTAACATCCTGAAAGAGCTGCGGCTTTCAACATTTTTACACTTACAGAGTGGATAAACAATTAAAATGTACAGAACTTTGTGAAGGATAATTTTTCTAAGTTTCTTTATCACTTCCTGCAAAAGATTGTTGCTCACTGCAGAATTTTTGTTTGTGTGTCCTTTCCTGTAAGTAACCATATTCCAGATGTTTTGAAAAGTACTAGTCGCCTGCTTCTTTTATAGATAGTAAGAGAACACCTCTGATATTGATTAAAAAAAACAACAATCTATATCAGTTTAGATACAGGTTTGGATATACAGTAGGTAGCTAATCACAGCTGTGTTGTGTGCTTGAAGCCCATTCCCTCTATCTCTCTGATCTATTCGCCCTGTTACGTCATTTTGAGAGGCTATCAAGCTATGTAAACACATAACAGGTGCCATTTGTTGTATGACATTTATTCAAAGTTATATTGTCTGCTTGTATGCTATCTGTAATTTTAACTCAACATGGTGATTGATATGTAGAAGAACAGTCATTTACTTCGCGATGCGGTCCCCTGAGAGGAGAAGAACACACAGTGATTACACAACTTTGAACCTCTGGGCATACCCAATTACTTGCTGAGGGAAAGGGAGAAGACAAACCCATCTCTCTCACACTCACACTCGCACTCGCACACACACACACACACACACTCACACTCACACTCACACTCACACTCNCAACTTTGAACCTCTGGGCATACCCAATTACTTGCTGAGGGAAAGGGAGAAGACAAACCCATCTCTCTCACACTCACACTCACACACACACACACACACACACACACACACCACACACACACACACACACGGGCAGGCAGCAGATGAAGTGGTGTGCCCTGTGATCTCACATTGATCAGTGCTGTGTAAG